GAATTATACTTAACATCTTCGAGTCTAGGAACTCTCTGACTTGGGTTTTTCAGAAAATCATTACCTATCTCCTTTGTTCTTTATGCAAAATGCCTCTGACTTTCATGATTTATCCTACATCCCACCACCAGGCTAATCCTTCCATAAGTCTTCTTTTAGTATGGTACTCCCTTGATATAAAAGTTCTTATAAAAGTTGCCTCAATTCACTAAATTATAACCTAGTAAAACATTCAAAGTCCCTGACAATGAGGCTCAAAGTTGCCTTTCAAAGTTATCCCTTGGTTTTTAAACTAGAGCTCCCTGTTCCTAAATGGGAACACCTCCTCACTACAATTTAGATACCCAATTTAATTTTCACTTCAATACCATGAGCTAAAGCTTTCTTTCTGTTATACCTCTCCACTCGGCTTAGCCAAATTTTACATGCCCTTTTAGGTTAAAAAAAATTATAAATTCCCTGCATTTTAAAAACACTTCCAAAAACACTTACATTGATTTTTATGTTTTCTCTAAACTGTTATTTTTTTAACAAAGGTTTATTCTTACATCATTTTGTACATTTTTTTTTCCATCTCAATTGTAATCCCCGTGGGTTTCCCATCACCAAATCACCCATGTGCCATCACCATAATCCCGTGCATTTCCCTCTCCACCCTACCGTTTTTGATCCCATTCCCCACTCCACCCCCGCAAAATGTCTCTGGTATATGGTTGCTGATTATTTTTGTTGTTTTCTCGCCTGGTCCATTATACTCCTGCTATGAGTGAAACCATCCGGTATTTTTCTTCCTCTTTCTGGCTTATCTCACTAAGCATGATCTTTTCCAGGTCCATCCAAGTTGCTGCAAAAGACATGTGTTTCTCTTTTTTGGTTGCTGAGTAATATTCCATTGTATATATGTACCACATCTTTTTAATCCAGTCATGTATTTTTGGGCATTTGCTTCCATGTTTTTCCAATTGTAAATAAAGCAGCAATAAGCATGGGGGGTGCAGGTATCTTTTTCAATCAGTGTTTTTGTGTCTTTTGGGTAGATACCTAGGGGTGGGATTGCTGGGTCATAGGGAAGCTCCATGTTTAGCATTTTGAGGAACCTCCAAACATAAACTGTTATCTTTTTAACTGAATGTTCTATAACCTGGCATTTACCTAGTGTCCTAGTGATTGAATGTGTCTATTTCCTTGACAAGGTGATGCTGGGAACTCAGCCTATACCTTATACATTCTTAGTGTCTCACAATGTTGATATCAATATATATAGTGTAATGGGTTTTAATAAATAATATGCTATTACTAGTTACAACTTAAAATTGTGATTTGGCAAAATAATTTTATGAGGAAATCTAATTTATTTTCACACAATTTGATGAAAGGAAATATCAGGTAATGGCATTATTCATTCTACAACTGAGAAAGTTGTAATGAATGAGTTCCATATGCTCACATATGTGAAAGGTTTGGTAAAACAATTAGCTTTTTTTTTTTTAAACCTAACAGCCAAGTTATTCATTACAGGAATTAAGAAAGGAAACGATCTTTGCCTTGTATTTTAAAATTGTACCTGTGGCACTGTTAAAGAAATCAGGGATAGTTAGCAATATAGTTTTATAGTTAAATGTACATACTTGATTCAAATAATTTAATACAATCAGCGTAATGAAATTATATCTATGAATAGTGATATTCGTTTTTATTTTCCCCCTTTATTTATGCATACAAGAACTGGGGTAAAGACCAGGGTGGCGGGGGGGGGGGCCACGAAGATTCACCAGAGCAGATCTACAGGCAGATCTACTGAAATACGCTGCTGAGGGGAGCAGCAGTGACATAGGAGAGGTCTACTGCTCCATGTGGATCACCTCCGGGGCTGGGAATAGTACTCATGCCACAGTGGCTGGCAATATCTTAATAGCACTGAGACTTTAACCCCTGCAACACCAGGGATATCCTTAGTGATAGTTTTTTTAAAATTATGCAATAATCTGCAAGTAAAAGTGTGCTCTATAAAGCTCAAAAAAATTGGTTTTAGGAAACTAGGGGAAAAAATATGTATTTGACACGTAGTAAAACTAAAACTCACTTTTAATGCATCTCAAATTGGAAATAGGCATTATCTGAAAAACCATCTTCATAAAACAATATTCACGCAGAACCTATGTATAGGTAAATCTTGACTTGTAAACTATTCTGAATTTACAAGGGGAGGGAATTTTTTAAATGATGGCTCACACTACATTCTGAAATGTTTCATGTTGTTGTGGTTTCCTCACTAATTCCTAAACAAGTGAACTTTTTGAAGAAATAAGGATGCCTTACATGGAACACACAAAGATAAATCCTATAATCTTCAATACGTTTAAAAAAAAAAAAAGTTTACATCAGTTGAGTCTCCACAGTCAAACACTAACAGTAACCTACGCTAGCAACAAGATGCTAGGGAATTTGTTCTCATTCCTTTCCTAAAAGAGTTACATTGTAGTTAACTGCCGCCATTTTTAGGGCTAAGTATGTGGGGAAAATCACAAATGGAAGCTTAAACATATTTATCTTTGGAGCAACCATGCTGGATAAATGCACAAAAAGGGGAACCAAAGATGCATATAGAGGTGGTTGACTTATTATACAACCAAGAAAGGTTTAACGAGATCTTTCCAAGATTGTAGCTGTGATATTAAGAGATAAACCAGAATGGCACACATACGCATGTGTACTTTCTCACTCTTTTTTAGAAGACCTAACTCTCTCTTTCACAAGACCTAACTAACAGTTTCACTCGAAACTGTGAAGCCGATATATACTGTCAGGGGATCTCTCAAAAGCCCCAACAATGTGGGGACTAACTTGGACCTGAGGGCAGGGCAGAGGTCAAGTTATCTTGTTCAAATATATTATAGTAAGAATGTGTAAGTAGTAAAAGATCTATTTTAGGGATACCTTCCTTATTAATCACAGAAATAAAGCACAAAATATGACAGAACACAAAGAAAATCAAGTTCCTTTAGAAATGTAAAAGTAGACTCACTGCTGCTTCAGAAACCAGTATTGTTAAGTTGCAATCAATTAGAAAAATAAATATGTTCTATCATGAAAATTTATTTTCTGAATTGGGTGAATTCAAATGAGACATTCCTTTCTCCATACTGCCCCCATTCATACACATAAATTTGCTTATTAAATTTGAATGCAATAAAGTTTATTTATAAAGGATTGCCGACTGCGATGCTCCACTGCATACTTTTAAGATGCATGACATGTTCCAACTTAACCTGTGCAATGGTATGGGTGGAGACCATAGACACACCTCTTACTATAGGTGGTAGGCTTGCCCTCCAGTCAAATAATTTTGATCCTGCTTTTAAGGTGAGTAATGGCACTGAGAAGTATAATTTGAGCTATACTAAGTATAAAACTTTCTGGGGCATATTTTGTATTTAAGCTTTAAAGTCTGATTAAAACTTTTATGAAATCAAATTGTGATTTTTTTTAAATAATCCCATCTTTTTAATGGTATCCTAAAATGAAATTAATAAGTATTATGGTTCTCAAAATACTAATTCAGCCTTGTGAATAGTCTTTGCAAACTAGTAATTTATGCCAGTTGAGGAAGTAACTAAACAGTTATCTTCATCAGTAAAGAGACTAGTTTAAACAAAGAATGAGGAAAAGCTAGAGTCCATTAAAATGACAGTCTATATTTAAATAGTAGATTAAGATATGTTTGTAATTATTAAAGATTTAATCTTGTGGATTTATGACAGAGTCATGGGCCTAAACTTTAGACTAGTTAGAGCAAAATTAAATCACATTGTGCAGAGATAAGAATTTAAATTGCCACAGATCTTCAAATCCATAAAATAATTATAATTAGTAGTAATAGTGATATAACTTCAATTACATGTATGAGTAGAATATGACTAGTGATTCTTTTTATCACACCAGTTAAAATTTTTCTAGGCAATGGCCCTCCCTGGTGGCACAGCACAGGGAGGCTTGAGCCACTTCCACATGAGTTCAATCCCCGCTTGCCCTGGAGGTGACCACATGGCGAGGCAGACCTCTCCTGGCCTGCCCGCTGCTCCCCTCAGCGGTGTGCTTCGTCGATCTGCCTGTTCTGTACCCCGCTCTGTCTCTGGTGAATCCCCTCACCCTCCGCCTCTCTGGCCTGTACCCCAGTTCTGTACAAATAAATAAATAAAATCTAAAAAAAAAAAATTTTTTTTTCTAGGCAAGAAGTACTTTAAAGCTTACAAGTAGAGGCATATGTTCATTATTTTGTGATCACTGGATCCTATTATTTCCTGAATATAGATTCCATTATCTCACCTTGTCTAAATCCCAGTAGTTATATATAATAGAACTTTCTGGGATAGAAATGTCCTGTATCTGTACTGCCCATCTGATACTGTGTGGTCACTGAGCACTTAACAAGTGGATAGTACAACTGAGAAACTGAGCTTTTAATTTTAGTTTAATTAACTTCATTTTATATGAAACATATTTCATATATTTATGAAATAGCCCAAAGTGGCTAGCATATTAAACCTACATCACAGAGCATCCTAAAAGTAAGACCAAATATCTGTTATGTTAGGCCCTACTGTAGCTGCTGGTTGATTTCCACAGTATCGTATTCACAAAGACTAAAGTGGTATGCCAACAACTTTTTGTCCTATAGTTTTATCTTCATTCAAAAATATTAGATCTATGTCAGTAAACCTCTAATACAGCGTCAGACAAATCCAAACAAAAGATCCTGTGTGAAAGATTTTTACTAGTGTTTATAGTGTGTGAATACAACTATACTGATTAATGTGATAGCTTGGTGGCCTGTGTCAAACTGTGTGATGTTAGTTCTAGAATGACTAGAATTCAAACTATGAAATATCCACTCCTACCAAGTTTTTGTCCATTACCTATCATAACACAAGACTAGCAATTACTACATAGTTTTCAGCTCCGCTGGTTAAACACTGCAAAAGCATGTCAAACCATTTTACCTGACAGACATATTTGTTCTTCCATTTGCTCAGCACACATTGACTATTTTGCATCAGCTCCTGAAGGAAACAGAAAAAAAGAGTGCAGTTGGCTACACACATTGTTGTTATCAGTTAAAGTGCTTCTGATTTGCAAGCCAAAAAAAAAAAAAAATCATGCCACACAAAGATACAACTGTTTTGGAACTCCTCACCGGACAAAAGCAAACCTATCATCACCATGAGAGTTGATCCTTTATGAAAATTAAAACTGTTGAAAGATGTTTTAAAACAGATTTGTTTGTTGCCATTTTTGAAACTTTTGGAAAGATACCTCCAACTCCTTAAGTGAGTCTCGAAGTTTTTCTGGGCGTCTGTTTTTGAGCGTCCATGGATAATCTCGTGCTGGCAAATAAAACATGTACTACAGTTAGTTAAACATGATTAAAAAAGGAAACTGCCTAGCAGTGTGCCTTGAGAAGATTAAAATAAAACACCTCTTTAATTGAGAGGAAGTGGGCTTCATTTCCATCATCAAATGACAGCCTTTTGAAAGGCTTTGTCATAGGAACAGGATTTTTACCACAATACAATCTCCCTGATCATAATTTTATGATGACAACCAACAAGGCTCAGAGAATTCCTGGGAAAGTTTCCTAGGCCAGTGAATCTACTTCTTAATGGTGAATGACCTACTCTTTACCACAGAATTAAAATTTTCATGTGAATAATTAAATGAAAGAAATTTCAATTTTGTGAGAACATACCTCAGATCTGAAATTTTTCAGTAAATTAATATAGTGGAGGAGAGAAATAAAACACAGAAAAAAAATTAAAGTCAAGAATCAGAGTATAACATTAAAACTAAAGATTGAGTTCAAATTTTAACAAATTAGGCAGTAATAGTAATCTTTTCAGTCTAAAATAATTTTCTTTAAAATATTTACCACAATTTAATAATTAAAACCTTTGTTTTGTTTTAAATGCATTTAATTAAAAGGCAAAATTATTTAGTAGAGTCTCAATATTAGCCTAAGACAAACTCAAATAAGTTCTCTTTAAAGGAATACAATGTTAAATTCATTGTATCTATGATAAATGCTATGTGATAGTTAATCTATTATATAAATGAATTCATCTTTGAATTCTCCTGAATAATTCTAAATAAGAGTTCTGAGACGTACTGCAGGGGAACGGGTGGGCGAGGGGCCAAAACAGGAACGAGCATGAGGGACGGGAGAGATGGATCACAGGTGACACGATGGTGGGAGAACTATGGGGACAATACCTGGGAGGAGAAATAAAGTACTGTCCGAAACTGACAATGATGTAAGAAAATTGATTTAAAAAATGAATTGTATACACAAGTCTATGAGTGTATGTTTATACGTATGATATATAGTATATGTAGACATTGAAATTTTATAGAGCTGGTATATATCTCATTTCAGAAAATTAATTTTATCTCACACCATAATTTGTATTGTGTGCACTGTATGTGCAAATTTAAAAATCATTGTGCAGCTACTAATATATTTTTTTAATTAAATGTCCATTTGACCATTTAAAATAAGAGAGCAATTATAATGTTCAGCTCTGCTATTAATTTCAAGTCATTAAAACCATGTTATCTTATATCCATATATTTAGATATTTTAGAACAGGAAAGACTAGAGAGAATAAAAAGCTATCACTATTACAAATCTTAAATGGGTAATAGGTACTGATAATTTAGGCATAGTCTTAGTAATAAAATGTTACCAGACTTATAGTATATACTTATTGTAAATATATTAAATAATAGAACTATGACTCAGTAAGTCAGAAGCACTTATCTTACCCAAACTGGATAGAAATTTCAAAGATCTAAATTCAAAATGCTTAATATTTACAATTCTTACTCATGTGCATACACCTGGAAAATCAGAATTTATAATCATAAAAAAATTTGGAAGGAACGAAATTATTTATGCAGAAAGCTTAAAATATTTTTGAAAACTGAAACGTCAGGGATAAATTTCTAATTTTATAGTCATTCCCAAAGAATAAAAAGTAAGCTTACATTCTGCCAACTTCTGCTTATCTTCTAAGTTACCATGCTCTGCTGCTGATAATTGTGGGGTAGGAGGGTCAGGAGGGGAAAAAAAGAGTGAATTACTTTTATTATAATGCTTTGTATTTTTAAATACTTGGTATTTTTATATGCACATATAAAATACATTATACACATTTGTTGAGATTAATAGTTTATGCCAAACTGTTTTAAAAAAACAGTTGGGGGAAAATACAAACTGGATGCTTTAATTACACAGTTACTTCCTAAATTTGCAATGAAAAGGCTTAACCAGCACAACAGGTGGGCCAATATCCTCCGCCTGCAATCTCATCAGATAGGGAAGGGAACTGCAACTGAGCCCAGAACAGAAGCTGCTTCAGTCTGTCATCAGAACTATGAACCAAGCTAAGCACACAGGATGCCCGCACAGGCCCCACTTCAACAGAGACCAAAACAGGAAGTAACTCTAGCTAGAAAGACCTTTTGGCCCATCATGAAACTTCTGGGATTAACAGGATTAATCAGATAAAGAAAATTGATCATTCACTCAGAAATGCCTATTTCAGATATCAGGTGAGGATCCAGGAGGCCAGCATCAGTGGGACCATGCATTAACAATGCCCTCTACTGGGACACTGATAAACAACGTGAATAGACTGTCCAGTTATCAGTCTGATCAGCAGTAAAATGAAAATTTTCATGTTCTTCTACAGCATTTTCTTGGTATTTATTTTTTTCTAGACCTAGACATCAACTTCAATATTTTTCGAAAGAACAAAAAGTGACTTTTCTTGAAATTTTAAAAGTCCATAAAAACAAACTTCATGTCATGGTCATTTTATAGTTTTGAATATTTAGTCTATAAACATTAGTGAAGTAAAATAGATACTTTACTTGGTGGATCTTTCTTGTCATAATACTGGTAGATCCCGATGTCTCTATCTATAAAAAGGAAGAAATAACATCAGATATTGGCAAAAAGTTCAATTTGTACTATATAGCAAGGGCAGGATAGGGTAAAGAGAAAGACAGAAACAGTCCATACATATTATTAGAAACAGAGCAGTTCAATAATGCCTACACGTAGGTTTGTCTACTATTCTAAGACATGCAAAAATTGCAAAGTTTATCAATCTAATTAGAAAAGAGTACACAACACTGAAATGGCATGAGAAAAGGAATATATAATAAAGAACTGAAATGAAAGAAGATCAGCGTTCTCATTCACACCTCCTGATACTTTCACAGGGAGCCGCCAAAAGGGACAGCCACTCTCAAGCGAAGTCAAAATGCCCTAACTAATAGATTGTGCGCTGTAGCTTTTTCCCCAATTTAGCTCAATTTAGTGTGGTATTTGGGGAAAATCTATGGAAAGAAAGAGAACACTAGAGGAAGGGATGGATAAATTATCTGAAGCTTGTTTAGACTCAAAAAGCCTCCAAAGCCATTAAAATGTGGAGGCGCTGCGGGACTACAGAGAAGCAAAGCCAGACTTCCCAGGTGTTAACAGTGATTCTACTACATAACCTGTTCTTACAACCAATTATGTAAAAATGAAATAACTCTGTCCACTTTCTTCCTATCTATGAACAGAGAAATATTGTTCTTTGAAGCAATATTCCTTTCCTTCAAAGTAATTCTATTACTAACAAAAGGATAGATCTTTTTCTAAAGTGCAAGCAGTACAGGCTGCCCCCTAGTGGCCGACTGCTCCAAGCTTTCAAACTGAGGAGAAACTGGGGGAAAAATTACATTTGTAGCTATACTTAACCTTTCAATTTCATCAAAATTTTAAAAAGATTTTCAAATTAGTCAATCTTCTATATTTACTGCAGCACCATCCTATTCATTATGCTACTTAGTGAATATATATTTTTATAGAATACAGTTTATTTTTGTGGTTGGAAATTTTCTAATGAGTAATTGGGAAAGGTCCACAGTAGAGCCTCTTGAGTGGTAGCATTATATTTCTTTACCTGGATGGTGTTAACTTTTTGATAGGTGAAAACATGCCTCATGATCTGTACACTTTTCACACGTTAGATGTTATGTGAATGTGTTTTTTTTTTATTTAAGAACTATAAGCATTATGTACACAGGCAGTATCCTCTTTACAAATTCTGCTCTATAATTAGGTCCATCAATCCATGTATCCAAATACTTATAACTGTAGAAAAGAATGATGAAGACCACAAGGGACCCTGAATTCTGCATCTGCCCCAGAGTGGAGATGCCAAAACACAAGCAGGAGGAGGGAGCATCCACATAAGGTGATCTACTCTATACAGGATTCCCAAACCAAAGTATCCCTGCAGAGGTCAGCCTGACACAGGGTCAGAACCTTGGCACAGTAAGAAGGTCATCCACATGGAACATGTGCACAGTGTTAGAAGCAGAACAAGATGAGGACATCTACATAAGGGGGAGCCTAACATGTCAGCACCTATGTGGGGTAAGAAGGAAATTCACAAGAGGGCAAAAGTAGTCACAGAGAGAGAAGTCTGATTATTACACGGCGACTGATTAAAAAGAAAGATACTGGACCCAGCTTTCCTATTGACAGAGATACAAATACAGAAAGGGAGAAAATTAGAGTGAATCCTATGGCAGTATATTAGAATTGAAGGTATTAGTGTGAATTTGTGGTTTCCAATGTGCACACAACATGCATAGATAAATATAGATGTGAATATGTGTGTATACATACATAACTACACACACATACATTTCTTAATGTGTGTGCCCACCAAGAGGGCCTGGGAGCAAGGATATTCCAATAGCAATGGGACACACATAAGCACATCTTGCTTCTAGATACCATTCTTCTCAAAAAGGAATCAAGCCCCCTAGAGAAGTGACTAATTCCAGGGCTGAGGAAGGGAATGTTTAATAAGAGTCTGGATGACCTGTTGTGCAAGAGAGAAGGGAAATATCAAGTATTGACAGAGATATATCACACAGACATAGAAACCAAACTGAAAGGGGTCCCACTGACCACATGAGGAACAACTTAATTATCAAAATAAAAAAAATGACAGTAATGAGTGAAAACCATTAAATAAAAATAGGAAATCTGGATCCACCAGGATAAAGGATTCAATAAAAAGATACATGCATTAAATAAATTTGAAAGAACAGGATATTTACATAATTTTGAGGTCCTTCCTTACAAATTTTAATTAACTCCGAAGGAGAAAGTATACAGTGGAAAAACCTCTGATACCACCTTAATCCAGTGATCAGAAAAATCATCAGTCAAGGCACACATTAAAATTATGCAGCACCCTATATGATACACTAAGAACACAGCACCACTTCTGAATTATTCCCACCAAATATGTATAACCTGACTCTAACCGAGAGGAAACTTCAAAAACATTCAAATTTAGGGACATTCTATAAAATACCTAGCCTAAATTCTTCAGAAGTATTACAAGATCATAAAGGTTGTAATAAATAAAAATAAAAATGAAAGAGTTATCCCAGAATGCAACCTGCAAATATGACCAAAAAGAAAAAAGAACAGCTAAAATTCCAAGTATTCAGTGGCAGTACTAAAATCACTGTTTATTTCCTGATTTTGATGTTATAGTGGTACAGCACATCTTTTCTATCCAAAATACATACTAATGCCTTTGGAGGCAGTGAGACCTGAGGTCCTTTCCTATAACTAATGATTCAATAAATATATATCTACACACACACGTATATCCTGATAAGTTTCTATCAGTTTCAAAAATATACTTTAAATATCACATGTAACCAAAGCATTAACAGGGTTACTGATTTCGGCTAAATGACAGTGAAGGCTTCTCTGGGTGATTTATTAAAGCTGAGCTCTAAAGAGGCAGGATTTTATTTGGGTTTGAAGAAAAGATTCAAATCCAATAGACAGAATGGATAGGGCCTGCTGAAGATCCACTTGGGGAGAAAACCTTACTACCCCTTTCTTCTCCCTCCCGCCCTGGCACCCTGTGCAGCACTGTGGAATCTTCTTAAAAGCCACTTACTGTCTCTGAACTGGAGGCACAGGGGCAGGGATGAAGGACTTTAGGACAGATGGAGAGCTAGGGAATGAGTTTGCTGGGCAAGTAACACAGCCAAGGGTGTAAGGGAACAGAATGATCAGATTTCCAAGCATGGGGTCCAAGCAAGATAGAAAGATAAGTGGAGAGGAGAACAATGGACTAGAAGAAATGCAGGGATTAAGATACTGATGATCTTTAAAAAGCATATATGCTAAATATGTAAGATTTAGGGATCAAAAGAGATAAAAAATAATCAGTTAAGATTCTAATAATAAATCTACCTGGTAGCTTCACTAATAATAGTAATATTGTTTCACCTTAGAATTCACATCTAGAAAGTGTCAAAATAGCTAATAGCACATTTTCATTAAAATTTAAATATTCAGAACTAAGGTATTCATCACTGTTTTTTGAATGTGAGAAACAGAAACATAAAATATAACATATAGAAGTACCTTAATTTCTTCAAGTCCCATTTTTTCCTTTAAGAAAATTTTAACTATCTATAAATGATTAAATGTATCTATCATGCTTTTTAAATTTGCATTGATACCATTTGGAACTTTCTAGAAAAATATCACTAATTATGACGTTACCAATGTCTTTGACGATATAACAAGTGTTTTTCATTTTCAGCTTTTGATCTTTAAAAATATCTAACTCAAACATGTGCATGGTCATAAAAATTCAACTACTATTAAAAGGCTTTTAACATAAACAGTTTTGCAACATGACATATCTTCCAGCCCTTTATCTGTTCCCTAGAGATAACTATTTAACTCTTAGCTATTTCTTTTGGTATATATCTCCCTATTTATAAACAGTAAGCTTGTCCTGTTACTTCTTGATTCTTCATTTTGGGATCTTATCTATTGACTCTCCACCATGGAAAAAGAATTCAATTTCCTTTACCACTGTGCACCATTCTCCATCTACAAGCACTTACTCTTCTTCCCCACCCTCCCATATTAAAAGCACAATTTTTAGTTTAATCTGTGCTGACAGTGCCATGAATGCATAAGTATTACTGACAGCTGAACTCAGGGTACAATGTGGTTACATTTCTTTTTCTATACAATTACCTTGTTTTCTAAAATATGCTAACACTAATTAATTTCCAATATGCTGTGACATATCAGAAAATGAGTAAGTGTAACTTCTCAATTGGAAACATCCTTCCTGAAGGCTCCACAACTTTACTCCACTCACAACTGACTAATGTCTGGGTCTGCTGGAGAGACATTATCCTGTGAATACTCTGTCTTCTCCTGATGTAGACAAGTATCTTCCTCTGTCTGGATTTAATGCCCTTGTTTGTAAGGCATACAATGATCTAGTAGTGTTCTGAGAAAAGAACAGTGAATTTGGAAAGGATTAAACAAAGCTATAAGAGTCTATTTTGTTCTTGCAAATGGCTGACTGGCCAGCTGGGAATAAAATTTAACTTGGAAACATATATGTATATTTTTTAACATATGGTTTTTGGATTATTTTATCCTCAGTGTTCAGAAATTACACAATGTTATATTGTGATACACGTCTTTCCCACTTATTTTGTTGAGTACATTATGTGCCCTTATAATTTACACTCATCTTCTTAGTTCTAGGAAATTTTCTAGAACAGAAAATTTGTATATATTTTCCTTCCCAACTCTCTTATGATTTTCGTGGAGTTATCAGTTGAATACAGAGTTCCTAGGTTGGATCTCCAACTTATCTGTTACTGTCTTCCCTATTAATTATCCATGTCCTCTGTCACAGTATTCACTTAACTTTTTTTCAATCATATTGACACATAATTCAACATAATTATGCACTCTTGATTATAGTGGTATTATCAGAGAAAGTAGATATCAGGTTTCCCTGCTCTGTCATCCTGGGTTCATCCCCTCTTTTGTGTTTAATTTTCTGAAAGAGTTTCTTTTACTGCTTTTAGTTTTAGTTTTTTTTTCTACTACATATTAGATGCTGAAAATATGAGCATAATTTTTGGATGTTTTCTTAAATTTCTATATTTTGTCTTTTGCTATTCATATTTAAAAGTAAGGCATCTGAAAGTTGATTGGAAGGTGTGTGTACATGGACAGAACTTAATCAAGAGGTGGGCTTCACTGAATATCCAGGGCACAGGGTGTTGTGCTTGAAGAAACCCTCAAATGTTTATGTAGATAAGTCATCTCTCTGAAGCCACGCTGTCACACTAGCGAGAACTCACTCAAGATTCATCCTTCTTGATAACCTGCTGTGACAGTGTCAGAATCATTGGAATTAAAAAGACCTCACCATCAGTCTACAGCTTTCACTTCTTCCTCTTTTTTCATTGGAACAGTTCCCACCTGGAACTGGTGTCCCTAGATGTAGCTTCCTAGTAGATATTTCTGCAGTATGAGAGCTGTCTCACTACCTCTTGAGCAGACTTTTCTTTTCCTATGTCTCCTGCAACACTCCCATTTTCTACAATATCGGATTACTCAAATTTTTATAACTTTCTAGAGTTTTGAGAAACAAATTCATTCTACTCTGTAGAAAGTTGGCATTTAGGTTTTTAAGCTTTGTTATTTCCCCCACCCCCTCAACTTAGCAAAATTTGAATACCATTGGCTTTTTGGCTTTTTTCTTATTCTCTTACTCCTTGTGGGTTTATACCTATTTTGTTTTAATTCATTTATTCTCACTGTAGAAGAGTTTGGAAAGAAAGCAAATTGTGTGAAATCTACTTTAATTGGAAAATCTATCCTTACACATTTTAAGTAAGGTAAACGTAATGCAATTATAATGACCTTATTCTTATATACGTACTTTATATATACTTTATAATGACCTTATTCTTATATACGTACTTTATATATACTTTATAATGACCTTATTCTTATATACGTACTTTATATATACACACACACACACACACACACAATTACTGCATGTATACATATAGTAAGATATATACTGTTATATATAGTATATATATAAAGAAATAAGATATATAGTATAAGATATATACATTATATATATAAATAATAAGATATATATAGTATATATATAAAGAAATAATACTTTTCCAGACAACTCATTTTATTAATAATGGTGCCAAAGAAATAGAAATAAGACTGTCTTCCTAAATACAAGAGTTGTTTAGCTTAAGGAAGAAAGGATTTTTTAAATGCTTTCTAATGACATATTATCCTATAATTCCAAAATGCACTGTTAAAACACATGTATTACTCCCCTTCCTCAATAATGTGAAATGGAAAAATATTAGCATAACTAAATTTTAATTGTATTTTTTAAAATATTTTAAAATTTCAAATAGAAATGCCTTTTCATTAGCCTGCAAATAATTAGTAACATACAGTAATTGTATATATCTTAAGAACAAATATTAGATCAATAAAATTAATTTTCAAGACAGAAAATTCAACTCAACCAGAAAAAAGTTAATCAGAGCAGAAATTATTTTCCATTAGTGAATTTTTGGTTAAATTGAAGAAAATAATGCAAGTACCACTGGACCTGGATTTGAAAAATATTAAAATTAACCCAGAGCTCATTTACCTCCAATGTGTAAGTTTTTCTTCAAAGACCACAGGTGCAGCTGTGTCAAGCAGAAAGACATCTGGTGGTGGAAGGAATCTCACTCCTGTTCAAAAATTAAAAATAGGTGCCAATTAATTGCCATCTATTTCCAATAAAACTAAGGTTCTTAGAAATACTGTAATCATTTGCCACTACATATTATCTGATATTTGGTTCATTAGAATAAACACACATTGACATATCTTTGGTTAACCATCCACTAATAAATGCCAGAAAATTGAAAAATACATATTTCTAGATTTAGAATGTTACCACATTGGATAATGTGGTAAGAAGGATATATATATATATATATATCAGGGTGTTCAAGAACATATGTTTGGATTTTAAGACCGCATATTTAGAATTATTTCATATTTAAGAATTATTCAGACAGTGTTAAGGAAAGAAAATACTTGTTAGGTAGTTATTAAGCACAGACACATTTTGTGGTATGTATTTAATATAAAAAGCAAATATTTACAATCTCCTACATACACATTGGTCAATTAAAGTGGAATTTGTGAATTAAATGGTACATAGTTACTATTATAAAAAAACATAATTTACTGACAAGTAAACTGTGAAACCACATTAATTTCAGATTAGTTTGATACTGTTCTAGATCCTAATATTCTACTCTGACTGAATTTTTTAAAAAATAGCAAAAAATATACATCCTGTATTTCTTCCCAGTTTTAACAGCAGGATATTATGGATATATTTTCTTAAATCAAATGGAATTTCATCAATTAGAAGCCCATTTGATCAGAAAAAAATGACATATTACAAATATTTGAAAGTAATTTATATTAACTTTCAAATGTTTGCTTGGAAAAACATATAGTACTATCTATAATATAGTAAAAATACATTCAGTAAGCGGTTGACTTTTTTTATAGAGATCATAAAAGAATTACACTTTTTAATAAATTTCTGAATAATAAAAATAGTTTGGAAAATATTTTTTTTT